CCTCACCCCTGCTCCTCACCCCTCCCTCACCCCTGCTCCTCACCCTTCCCCTCACCCCTGCTCCTCACCCTTCCCCTCACCCCTGCTCCTCCCCCTCCCTCACCCCTGCTCCTCACCCTTCCCCTCACCCCTGCTCCTCACCCCTCCCTCACCCCTGCTCCTCACCCTTCCCCTCACCCCTGCTCCTCACCCCACCCCTCACCCCTGCTCCTCCCCCTCCCTCACCCCTGCTCCTCACCCCTCCCTCCCCCTTCCTCACCCCTCCCTCCCCCTTCCTCACTCCTCCCTCACCCCTACTCCTCACCCCTGCTCCTCACCCCTCCCTCACCCTCCCTCACCCCTCCCTCACCCCTCCCTCACCCCTGCTCCTCACCCCTCCCTCACCCTCCCTCACCCCTCCCTCACCCCTGCTCCTCACCCTTCCCCTCACCCCTGCTCCTCACCCCACCCCTCACCCCTGCTCCTCACCCCTCCCTCACCCCTGCTCCTCACCCCTCCCTCACCCCTGCTCCTCACCCTTCCCCTCACCCCTGCTCCTCACCCCTCCCTCACCCTCCCTCACCCCTCCCTCCCCCTTCCTCACTCCTCCCTCACCCCTGCTCCTCATCCCTCCCCTCATCCCTGCTCCTCACCCCTTTCTCCCCCTCCTTCCCCCCTGCTTTTCCCCCTCCCTCCCTCCACAACTCCCTCTCCCTCACCCCTGCTTTTCTTTCCTTCCTCCCCTCACCCCGTTCCTCACCCCTCCCTCACCCTCCCTCACCCCTCCCTCCCCCTTCCTCACTCCTCCCTCACCCCTGCACCTCATCCCTCCATCATCCCTGCTCCCCCCCTTCCCTCCCCTCTGCTCCTCCCCTGCTACTCACCCCCACACCTCTGCTCCTCCCCCCTCCCTCACCTCTGCTCCTCTCCCTTCCTCTCACCCTGCCTCTCCCCCCCTGCTCCTCCCCCCTCCCTCACCTCTGCTCCTCTCCCTCCCTCACCTCTGCTCCTCTCCCTCCCTCACCTCTGCTCCTCCCCCTCCCTCACCCCTGCTCCTCCCCCCTCCCTCACCTCTGCTCCTCTCCCTTCCTCTCACCCTGCCTCTCCCCCCCTGCTCCTCCCCCCTCCCTCACCCCTGCTCCTCCCCCTCCCTCACCCCTGCTCCTCCCCCCTCCCTCACCTCTGCTCCTCTCCCTTCCTCTCACCCTGCCTCTCCCCCCCTGCTCCTCCCCCCTCCCTCACCCCTGCTCCTCCCCCCTCCCTCACCTCTGCTCCTCTCCCTTCCTCTCACCCTGCCTCTCCCCTCCTGCTCCTCCCCCCTCCCTCACCCCTGCTCCTCCCCCCTCCCTCACCCCTGCTCCTCCCCCTCCCTCACCCCTGCTCCTCCCCCCTCCCTCACCTCTGCTCCTCTCCCTTCCTCTCACCCTGCCTCTCCCCTCCTGCTCCTCACCCCTCCCTCACCACCTTCTTCCCACCTATCCCTTTGTGGTGGTTCAAGCGGCTGCATGGGCCCCTGCTGGGTTAAGGGTAGATTTCTGATTGCTCAGGGGTGGGCAGGCTCCTGTGGGTTAAGCCTGTAGCCGAGGCTTCTGTCAGGTTTGATTTGCGGTTGGCTAGTGAGTGTTGGAACAGCATGAAATGTGTTGTATGCAAAAAATCGTGTAGTTCTGCCCTAGAAGACCTCCCCCTTTTATGTTATGCACCAAATACACGATTTTTATTTGTTAATTTAAAAAAGTCAGATAGGGAGGGTGTGGTTGAGTGGCAGAGTTCTTGCCTGGTATGTGGGAAGACCTGGGCCCCTTCCCCAGCACCAAAAAGAAAAGAAAAGGGTCTATAAATAAAAAGACAAGGAAGAAAAGAATGAAATGACATGGAAAAAATTTAAGGCACTTGTTCGCACTGGCCATGGGTGAGAATGGCAGGCCATTCAGCAGACGCTAGATTCAGCTTGCTGAGGGAGAACTGCACAGAGTTCTGGTAGGGATGAACTCAGCCTTTGGTTGTTGTCTTGTCTAGTTCTGTTTTAGAATTGGTACTAGTTTTAAATGTGGATTTTTGGTTTTGTGGCCATGTAGGGTTCTAACGTACCCCAGCCTCCCAGCCACAGGGGTTCAAACTTCCCCTTATAGCATCCTAAAAAGCCTGCTTTCTGTGGTTGGACTAATTCATGGAGAGTCCAGGGGCCTGAGGCTGGTGGCCGATCCTTCTCTAGACCTATGCTGGATTCCACTTCAAACTATGCAGCCAGTCCGGGCACCCTCCCACCCCCAAAGCCAGCCCTGCATCACCCGCATTATGAGACTTCCATGGAGTTGCTGGTCGGGAAGTCAGGCACAGCTCTGTCTCTAATTCCCACTTGAGGTCTGGTCTGCGGGGACCTGGGGACCAGATCTGAAAGCAGAGGCCTGCAGGGCTCAGGAGAGGTGAGTTCCAGGGAGAAGTAGCCTCCAAAAGTTAAAAACCCCATTTGTGGCACTCAACTTGCTACATGGAAGATGTGGAAGGTTGTTGTCGTGGATGCTTAAGTAACGCGGCCCAGTAAAGGCCGTCCCCTCAGTGAGTGATCGCCGCATTGGCACAGTGCCATGCCCTGCCTTATTTTTATCTCCATATGACATTAATTCATGGGATGACTAAAGAAATTAAATTGACCAATCTCTGTACCATAATTTTACTGTAACTGCCTTAGGTTCTATTTTGTTAACATTTAGAAAAGGACAAACTCGGAGAACGTGGATTTTATCCGCAGGTTGTTGGAATCCCACTGGCATTTCCGTGTGGCTTGTCCTTCAGTTTCAGCACCACCGCATTGTAGGAGTGGTTCCCTGGCTTTGCTCATTGGCACCTCGTGATTCCCAACATTCTGTCTTCCATTGCTTCGTGTCTGAAGTGAGCCCCATTCTAAGCCATCCCATTTTGTATCCTGGGCTAATCACAGGGACTCATAGATGGTACAGCTGTGATTACAAACATTGTCTGATAAAAAGGTAAGGTAAGCACTTCACTACCCATGAAGACCAGACAGCACCGGCGATTGGGGTGTAGATGGCCAGTTTTCTAATACTTTCTTTCCTTGAACTAATCTTGATAAGCTGAGCCTCCTTCTCTCCCATCCTCTCCCTCGCCCCTTCTCTCAGTAGTGGGGCCTGGGGAAGGGGCAGGGGGAGAGGGAGAAGGAGGGGAGTGGGAGAGGGAGAGAGAGAGAAGAAAACCGAAAGGGACTTAATTGACAAAATGCCCCCACACTAAGCTGGGAGTGCAGCTCTGCCTGTTGTCTGGGCCCTGCGCCCTGGGTGCGGCTTCCCCAGTCTGACCGGCAGTGTCCCACACCCGTACTGCCCAGCACATTGGAATAGCAATGGTGTTTCGCGACACCTTGCTGTCTGACCAGCCAGTCGGCCTCAGCACTTGCCTAACCAAGCCAACATCACTTCTGTCTCCCTTCCGTGTTCTTCTCATGGACAGTGGACTTTGTGCGCATTGATGGTCCTCTGGGGACCTTCTCTTCCTTCTTCCAGGTGGGGTGTTTGCTGCTTCCGAAGGCTCCCAGCACACTGCGGGAGAGAGAACTTCCTATAGAGGTTCCAGTACCTCGCTTGGGTTTAGTGTTTATTGGTCTCGGGCTCTCACTGAAGTCCCCACAGATGAGTGGATAATGGATAATGTAGCTGTTGAATAAATAAGTGCATCTGTTTGTAGTAAGAGCCACATTGGTACTAAGAGTTGCATTCCACTTCTGAATCCCTGTGCCTGCATTTCCCTAGGAAAAGAAATATTGTTCTTGCATGTTAAGTATTAGCTTTAATTTATACAGAAGGAAGTTCTTAAGATTAATCTCCCATAGATGGTACTATGCACTGGAAACTACCAAAAAAAAAAAAAAAGGAGCCACAGACCCATTCCTGGTCATCCAGCGTGAAGAGCTTAAGCGTTGCATAGCAAACTCAAAAAAAGGGATAAGCTCTCTGAGTGTAAGAAATAAAAATGCAGATTAAAATTAAACATAGGCATGCAGTTCAGTTTGATTATCTTGGCCATGAAGTTCTGGTGGATAGAAATACAGATTTTGTGTAGGAAGCTTGGGTATGAAATAGACATGACTTCCAAGTTGCAAACATTTTTTAACAAAAAACGAAAACATCGTTTTGATCATCTAGTAGTGTACAGTCAAGTAATTAAAATAAAATGATGATGATGATGATGATGATGGAGGAGATGTAGAACAAGTGACTTGTGAAACATTTTCTTCACCCAGACTCTTGGGTTTTCAGAAGACAGAATTCTTTCCAACTGTTTGCCAGTACTGGAAACAAAGTCACAAGTGAAGAAAGATTGCCTTTGAATTTGGGCCTGTGCCCTGGCTATTCACAGCTATTTATTTACTTACTTGTTCTTTGTCATCCACCCATCCATTCATCCAACCAACCATTTATGAATTCATTGTGTGTTTTTATCATTCTAGGAGTCAAACCCAGGGTCTTAACTACAGTGTTCTACTACTGAACTATACCCCCTTTCTAGATTTTTTAAATTCACAAAATCCTGAGTTATTTGTGGCAGGTTATGTGTAAGTAACTGTATAAAGTGGAGAGTTGGATTTTTAGCAGTATGGGAATTTGAACTCAGTGCCTTGCATTTGCTAGTCTATACAGTCCCACTTGATCTCCTTATTAGATGAGATAGGCTTTTGGTAACTTTTCCCCAGGCTGACCTTGAGCAAAACCTCCCTGATCTCTGCTTCCCAAGGAGATGGCATGACAGTGTACATAGTACCTCATATACCTAAAAACAGGTCGCTGCTTAAATATTTGACCTCACACAGATAACCACTCAGATTTGTAGCCCTGAGGAGGGCTCTTCTTAATGCGCATCACCCCGGTGCAGTGCATGTGGGTAGTGTTCCGGGCGTGTGGAGGGCTTTGTGCTGCTCTCTGTTTGGTTTCTGCGGTAAGCGGAGCGAGTTTTGATGATGGCCTGATAACCCCACGATTAAGTTCTGTGTGTTGCATCTCTTGCAGGTACTGTGGTCTTTGGAGCTGGGTCACTGGATTTCTGAGGAACCTTTTGAACTTTCAACTCACTTCCCTGCTGCTCCTGTAAGTCGCTGTTGTGACAATCAATGCAGTTTGGTGTTCTCAGGAAATTCTTAGAAGCATAGCGCAACTTACTAACAGCAGGCATGCTGAAACTAAGAACACATATTTACACAATGTAGGAACGCTCACCTACTTATCTGTAGGAGCACATGTGTGGATACTCTGTGAAAAGTAGTGAAAATGTGATTACAAAGGCCCACAGGATAAAGAAAACGACATGAAGAAACTAGATTCTCAGAAAGGAAGGTAGCAATAGAGTTTAATTTTTGTTCTAAAAAAGATGCTTTTGTTGTAAGTGGAAGTTTCACTCGTAGATACAAATATTGTGCCTTGATTGTGGCGCGGTCATTATTATACTTTGATTTCTCTTTTCCTAAATGCCACTTAAGTGTTACTGACTTGTAAGAATTTCAGATGTTTATTGAGAAGTTCCAGGTTCTAAATTTTTCAGATTGAGGATACAAAAATGAGCAGAGTCTGGTTTGATTGGGAGCTGGACTCTGTAAGAAGCTGCCTTCTGTTTTCAAGCTTGTTGACTCGTCTGAGGCAGTCTGTTCTTGTAGAAGGTGAGGGTGGGAGGTCCGCAGGGCTCCTGTTGTGCAGTTCCCCGGCGCGGCCCCGCGGAGGCCCGCTCTGTGCTATCCTCACTGCCGCTGACGAGGTGGCTGCTTGTTTCTGTTCTCATGTTTAAGGTGACTGTTGGGATTTCCTTTTGACTTTGTAAATTTTTTTAAAGAGAGGAAATAAGAAGTCCTCCCAGGGAGACTGTTTGTTTGAACTACTGAGTAAGGAATTGAAGTATAGAGTGAAAACACCAATTCCTCCCATTCTTGTGCTGAGAGATTGTGGATAACCCCGAACAGTGAGCAGTATGGTAGCACAGCTAGTCTCTGGAATCTGCATTCCCTGCCTGCACTCGAAGCGGCATGTCCCCCCGTTTCTCCTGCATTCTCCTCTCCCCCCCTTGCTGGATACCTGCGCTGTGGCTGTGGAGCTCTGGAGCCTCCTGAGTATCTTGTGCATTTCTAACTTGATAGGCCCATGACGCCCCTGTCGAGGTTTTCACGCTCTCTTCAGCATGGTGGGAGGGTCCCCCGCCGGACTCTGAGCGCGCAGCAGCTCACCAGGTCCTGATGCTGAGGCTGGGGTGGCAGGGATAAGCCGCATCCGCAGAGGAAAATGGGGCAGGAAGCAAGGAAGACAGACATGCAGGAAGTGCCAGCAGCAGACGACCCCAGACTTCCTCTCCACTGACTCAGATTCCCTACACAGATGTCCATTAGTACAAGATGCACTATGCAAACTGCAAAAGAAGGTAAAATCGAAGGAACTACATTTGCAGTCCCAAGCATTTAGCAGTGTTCCCAGATTTTTTTCCACACATTTGAGTAGACTCTGCATGGTTGGTTTTGTTTTGCATTCTAAAGCATTTCATTTGCTAATGAGCTTCAGCATATTACTAAGGTGAATTATATTTCTCCTTAATAAATTTAGAGACGAGTCCTGAGACTATAGCTTTGTATTTTTCTTTTTGGTCAGTCGTGGGGCTTGAACTCTGGGCCTGGGCGCTGTCCCTCAGCTCTTCACTAGCCCTCTACCACTTGAGCCACAGCGCCACTTCCAGCCTTTTCTCTGTATGTGGTGCTGAGGAATCGAACCCCAGGCTTCATGCATGCAGGGCAAGCACTGTACCACTGAGCCACCTTTCTAGCCAGAGACTATAGCTTGTAAGTGGCTTAAACAGAATGATTTTTGTCAGCATAAATTAAATGTTAGCATAGTTTTCTAAAATATGTCTTACTAGAAGAGAAAATAGACCTCTGCATGAAACTAAATGTATAATTTTCCCATTAAATATCAAATGTTTGCTTGTCATGAGGCACAGTTGTCATAATCAGTTTACAAAAACTGTAAATATTATCATGAAAGTTAAACATCATTTCATCTAATAAGTTATATTTAATTACTAAAAATACCTTCATATTTCACAGCCAGGCCAAACAGATAGTAAATCATCATACAAACACCCACCCAGTGATTTCAGAGCTCCTGGAAGTTCTCACTTTTTGCAGTATGTATTCTTTGAGCATTAAATTAAAACTAAGCAGTCAACAGATAATATAAATATACTGTTTCAGAAGGAACATTTGAAGCACCTAGGAGGAATAAAAAATGCACTTTTTTCAGAATATTGAACTGTGATAGCCACTTCCTGGGAATCCCTGAATGCACATATATGTTTTATGGCTTACAGAGTGTGGTATTCCTTTTCGGTGAGCTAGCGAGGTGAGCTCAGGACCCAGGGCTGTGTACATAGTCTGCAGACAGTGACAGTGCCCGGAGGAGCGCGGCTCCGGGGCCCTGTGTGGCACTGGCATTCTGCTTTCCAGTTATTTACGACAGCTCGCCCGGGACGTGCTTGGTTGTGGTGTAGACGCACAGGCTGCAGTGGTTGGGGTGACGAGCCCTGAGTTCACCTCTGTGAGACCACAGAGCCACGGCACTGCTTCCTCGGGTTTCCCTGGGTTCACGGAGCGAGGCAGGCCCAAGTGGCGAGGTGCTTGGGCTCTCTCGGGCCTGCAGCTCCGGAGCACCCAGGCAGTGTCTGGTCAACGCGTTGGGCGCAGAACAGTCTTCCTGGTGCAGACGCTCAGAAGTCTGCCGGTCGGATCATCATGGTTGTAGCCTTGAGTGAGTAGCCTGACCCCCTCCAGTAATACCACTTAATTCCGTTGAACTTGTTCGTGTTCTGCCTCTGTGGGTAGTACATTCCATTCAAGTTCGAAGGCCCACACGCATCGAACCACCAACCTGTGGGAGCAGAGCATCAAAGGAGTTAGGACCAAGCAGAGGCCACGGGACGCAGACGCAGAAGGGCTCCCCCAGGCCCAGGCCACATTCCCACCCGCCGTGCTGGCACACGCACATCCTCACGCCGAAACCTGTGGCCCCGCCAGGAGCGCATGTCCCGCCACACCCCGTGTCCTCGTGGCTTCTGAGTGTGTCCCTCACCACACCCCGTGTCCTCGTGACTTCTGAGTGTGTCCCTTACCACACCCCGTGTCCTCGTGGCTTCTGAGTGTGTCCTCACCACACCCCGTGTCCTCGTGGCTTCTGAGTGTGTCCCTCACCACACCCCGTGTCCTCGTGGCTTCTGAGTGTGTCCCTTACCACACCCCGTGTCCTCGTGGCTTCTGAGTGTGTCCTCACCACACCCCGTGTCCTCGTGGCTTCTGAGTGTGTCCCTCACCACACCTCGTGTCCTCGTGGCTTCTGAGTGTGTCCCTCACCACACCCCGTGTCCTCGTGGCTTCTGAGTGTGTCCCTCACCACACCCCGTGTCCTCGTGGCTTCTGAGTGTGTCCCTGCCACACCCCGTGTCCTCGTGGCTTCTGAGTGTGTCCTCACCACACCCCGTGTCCTCGTGGCTTCTGAGTGTGTCCTCACCACACCCCGTGTCCTCGTGGCTTCTGAGTGTGTCCCTCACCACACCCCGTGTCCTCGTGGCTTCTGAGTGTGTCCCTCACCACACCTCATGTCCTCGTGGCTTCTGAGTGTGTCCCTCACTGCACCCCGTGTCCTCGTGGCTTCTGAGTGTGTCCCTCACTGCACCCCGTGTCCTCGTGGCTTCTGAGTGTGTCCCTCACCACACCCCGTGTCCTCGTGGCTTCTGAGTGTGTCCCTCACCACACCCCGTGTCCTCGTGGCTTCTGAGTGTGTCCCTCCACACCCCGTGTCCTCGTGGCTTCTGAGTGTGTCCCTCACCACACCTCGTGTCCTCGTGGCTTCTGAGTGTGTCCCTCACCACACCCCGTGTCCTCGTGGCTTCTGAGTGTGTCCCTCCACACCCCGTGTCCTCGTGGCTTCTGAGTGTGTCCCTCACCACACCTCGTGTCCTCGTGGCTTCTGAGTGTGTCCCGCCGCATCCCGTGTCCTCGTGGCTTCTGAGTGTGTCCCTCACCACACCCTGTGTCCTCGTGGCTTCTGAGTGTGTCCCTCACTACACCCCGTGTCCTCGTGGCTTCTGAGTGTGTCCCTCACCACACCTCATGTCCTCGTGGCTTCTGAGTGTGTCCCTCACTGCACCCCGTGTCCTCGTGGCTTCTGAGTGTGTCCCTCACCACACCCCGTGTCCTCGTGGCTTCTGAGTGTGTCCCTCACCACACCCCGTGTCCTCGTGGCTTCTGAGTGTGTCCCTCACCACACCCCGTGTCCTCGTGGCTTCTGAGTGTGTCCCTCACCACACCCCGTGTCCTCGTGGCTTCTGAGTGTGTCCCTCACCACACCCCGTGTCCTCGTGGCTTCTGAGTGTGTCCCTCCACACCCCATGTCCTCGTGGCTTCTGAGTGTGTCCCTCACCACACCCCGTGTCCTCGTGGCTTCTGAGTGTGTCCCTCCACACCTCGTGTCCTCGTGGCTTCTGAGTGTGTCCCGCCGCATCCCGTGTCCTCGTGGCTTCTGAGTGTGTCCCTCACCACACCCTGTGTCCTCGTGGCTTCTGAGTGTGTCCCTCACTACACCCCGTGTCCTCGTGGCTTCTGAGTGTGTCCCTCACCACACCCCGTGTCCTCGTGGCTTCTGAGTGTGTCCCTCCACACCCCGTGTCCTCGTGGCTTCTGAGTGTGTCCCGCCGTATCCCGTGTCCTCGTGGCTTCTGAGTGTGTCCCTCACTGAACCCCGTGTCCTCGTGGCTTCTGAGTGTGTCCCTGCCACACCCCGTGTCCTCGTGGCTTCTGAGTGTGTCCCTCACCACACCTCGTGTCCTCGTGGCTTCTGAGTGTGTCCCTCCACACCCCGTGTCCTCGTGGCTTCTGAGTGTGTCCCGCCGTATCCCGTGTCCTCGTGGCTTCTGAGTGTGTCCCTCACTGAACCCCGTGTCCTCGTGGCTTCTGAGTGTGTCCCTGCCACACCCCGTGTCCTCGTGGCTTCTGAGTGTGTCCCTCACCACACCTCGTGTCCTCGTGGCTTCTGAGTGTGTCCCTCCACACCCCGTGTCCTCG